CCAGGCAAAATATAGATCAAGAAGCTTATTTCGACAAAGCTTAAATGTTTTTTTATAATGAGAATTTGAAAACTTTGCCTGATCTATTGTATGATCCAGCCGCATAATTCGATGGTAATACAGGATTCACAGCAAGAGCTGATATAATCCCTTTCTGTCCTCGTGTTTCCTTTTCTCAAATATGGAATCAATTATAAACTCACTATGAAATGAAAAAATGAATTTTCGTTTAAACACATGAACGCAACTAACTTACTCCATGTAACTAACTCAGAGATTTGACATCCAGGACGATTAACATCGAATTTTCGAATTACATTTTTATAACCAGCATATAAACAGTGTCCATCAGGTGTAAAACATAACGAATAAGCACTGTCAAGTTCATCCTGTAGCTTCATTGCCAATGATATTTGTTATTAAAGCATTAAAACAAAGTGGATGTATACAATTATAGGAAATGCGAATATGAGTTATATAGATGCATTCCATAAAATATTAATAAATCAAAAGATTTTCACTAAAAGCTTGCCATGCTATTCATGCCTCGAAATGTTGCTAACCAGTGTCCATTTGAATCCCACATGTGGATCGGATGGTCTTTGCTACTGCCAACGAAACAACTGGAGACTGGATGCCAACATGAATCGTAAACCAAATCACCCATAGAAATTGTTGATTTTGCATCCAGCTTCATAAAGTAAAAAATGTGACGATTAAATATAAATTAAAAAACCAACTTACTATCTTTAAATGTACAGAAACTGAATACTATGCAGGACTGAAATATGGTTCAAATAAAACAAGTAAAAGATTTAAAGACATCACAGAGATAGATTATCAGTTGTCTAACTAAAATCTTTTATATTTGTATTTGTTATCAGGGAAGCTTTCAAAAAAGGAACTGATAAAAATCAAAGAGACAAAAGTGAACCTCCGGTTTTTCAGGAAGAAACTCAAAGATACGAGCAAATCTATCTTGACTAACTGTAGCCAAATATTTACCACAACTACTCCATTGACAACTTTTAATATAATTATTGCAAGAATGACCAATACTAAAACCGAAGCCTAAAGACTTGACTTCGAAAGTTTCTTTGTCTCTGTATATTTCATGGAAATTTGAACAACGCTGGCGAGGGACATTATTCGACAATTCCTGCTCACCTGTAAGTCTATAAAACTTTTGTATGATTACAAGCTTCCGATTAACAATACAACTAGTCTATTGAAGGTTTATTTCGTTAATAAAGTTTAATAACTTGAAAAATGAAACGAGAGTTAATTCAAACAAAGAGGAATGGTTGGTATCAAAAAACAGTACGAAGTATTGTTGAATATCGAAAATTGTGAACATTTGAATTTAAGAGACAAACTACTGAAATTTAAATTAAATTTATGCAATGATACATTTAACGTACTTGGCAGTTTTTGCTGCAACAACACTATCCTGTCGAAGACTTGCTTCTCCTCGCATTTCTGGACTCATAGTTCGTTTCCGAGTCAATACTTTTTTTGACTTAAGGGTCTGAAATAACAACATATGGAAGCATAATACAGTTAACAGAAAGCAAACAGTTGATAAGAATTACAGATTAACAAGAACCTTTGGAAGAAAGGCAGCGATGCCCAAGCGATAGTGCTTTGTCGTCCAAGATGTATTATCTGATTCATCTGATGACTTGGAATCTTCACAAACAACATTATTTATTGCAGAACACGAAGGTTTCTATAAAAAAGTTTGTAAGTGATTACAAAATCACTTGGATTATTTGAGATCTAGTTTTCAGTACTGCTGAGCTGTTCAAGTCCATTAATCTCATTTCATTAAATATTCTAAAACAACATAGCATCATCTAATTATAGAAATGACTTATTCAGTTTCTTTCATTAAAAACAATGCTTCAAAGGCAAATGATTTTTTGCTAAGAAATTTTGACACAGAGATTCGATCAAAACAAGTTCATCATCATTATAATGGATATAAAATAAATATAATACCTCAGTACAGAGCATATCAATCATGTCACTGATCAACTTTTCTACAGACATATTTTCCTCTTGGTTTTCGTTCATAGTGATAACGAATCTGTAAACAGTTCAATATGACATAGAAAGCATGATGAATATGAATCCTTAAACATCGTATTAATCTGAAGTGACAGAATATGATAAGTACAATCTCGTCAATTCTGAACATAAAACCTGATCACAACCGACTTTGTGATCTATATATAATGTAAATCATGCATGCTTCTTAGTTGATCTATCTTTTAATCTTCAAGTTCCCAATAACTCCAAGGACACTTATAATGCTTGTTTTAAGCATATATATGCTGAATTATTTTAGAAAGCACAATACTTACAGAAAAATTAAGTCCATAAAGTAATCATGGAATAAGTAATATGTCATTTTAAGTTCCAAATGTTCTAGCAGAACAGTTTTTATCTCATTTATTTCTCATGACCTATCAGTAAGATACACTACTTACCAAAAAAACACAGGAACAACCACCAAAGGAACTAATTTTATGGGTATAATTAGTTTCTCACAGGGTTACTATTCGGGTACCCTGTGAATAGCAAACAGCTAAGTTAGTCGCATAAATCTTCTTGCCACGCAAACTGTATTTCACGGCCGCATAATTCTAAGTTTGCGCGAACTGTTAATTTAAAAATCAATATTACAGGTATCTGCTAAATAATAACAACAGTGTAATATATATATATATATATAACAGGAAAATATATGTTATGTAACCTCAAATATAAAATATGTTACCTCAAATATAACAGCAAAATTTGTCATATATAATAACAAATTTTGCTCTTATATTTGAGCTAACATATTTTTAGAGTTATTCATTAAAGGGTTGGTGTATTCTCGAAATTTTTGTATTAATTGTATTTATCTTTTCAGAAAATAAGTAATGGCAGATGATGATGATTTAAGTTCCAAATATGCGTTTCTGTTGCAACCAGTTAGAGATTTGCAGAAAAATTGGGAAATCGATATCAGTCATCTACTGGACGAATTTACTGAGCAGTACCATTTTCAATATCATTAGAGTTCTGTTGCACAAAAGAGAGTGAACAAAGAAGTAGAATTCTTCATAGCAGATTTTTTGGATTTAAACTTTTCAGTCAAAATTTACTTTTGTATTACGTTTCTTAAGATATTTCTGAAGATATTAAGAATAATGGTGATATTTACAGTAATTACACGTTTTTAGGCTTCGGTTATGTGAAATTAGATTAGATTCGGGTAAAGAAGAGTCTGGATCACATAAGAAGTTTAGTTTTGCTGAAGCAGCAATGCTGATTCAAGGCTCCACCATGGTCTATAGCAAGAAGGTCGAATATGTTTATGGACTCGCACGTAATTTCTACGAACAGCTTTGCAGTAAAAAGACGCTTCGAAAAAAAAATACGGAGGATGTGAATGGTGAATTGCCTTAAGAATAGATATATAGTGTTATCCATTATTTATTAGTTTCTCTTATAATTTAATTAGCAACTTCTTAACTAATAGTTGGGAAATCGATATCAGTCATCTACTGGACGAATTTATTGAGCAGTACCATTTTCAACTAAAAATATGAGAGTTGTGTAGAACAAATTTATATTAATACCATTTGTTACATGAATTTCTTGTTATTTCTTAAAGTCAAGAAAATTACACTATTCATGATTATTGGTGTTGGGTTTAAGAATTTGGTGGTGTTTATAAATAATTTGGTGACGAATACTGGCAAAATACAGGAAGTAAATTTATTAGGAAAAAGGACCACAAGAAATATTTATGAATAATCAGCTGTTGGAAAAAATTGTAATTGATTATGCAGGTTGAACCTGATCTGGATGTTCAAATTATCTGTCCTTAATTTATCTTCAAATTTAATTAGCAAGTTATTTGGTGACATATTTGTTCTGTATAAAATGGTTCATACTTTAAGTTGTGTCAGTACTTATGCAGCTAAATTGAAGAAAATATGGATGTAGTGGGAAATGACAGTGATGACGAACCGCAAGTATTCGATGATCCATGTGAACTAATTCCAGTTACGAAGCTTCTTCGTACTAATGACTGGAATACACTTATGTTGAAAACTGAGCAGAAGCCTCCTCTTTTATTGCCTATGGTTTGTTTTACTTGGAATTAGATTAAAACATTTTCCATAACTCTGGACTTCGTTTGCCATTCTTATTCTACGTAAAGATTTTTTAGTTACTATTTAAAAAAACTTGCAAGCAGTGAAATTAGTGATCTTTTTTATATTTATTACAGATACCACCTTCACTGATGCCACTTGCTGATTATGAAAAAAGTAATGTACCACTTTATTCTTCACGAAATAACAAAGAACTGGTTGGCAAAAAGGATGACTTTATTATCAATACTGGTTTCATTCATAAAAGCGTCAGTTTTATCTTTATATTTTAAACTTTATTAGGACTTATCTTTTCGCGGGAAATACCGTTGACTGCAAATAATAAATGACTTGTGGGACTCAAACAACCTGATGCTTATTTTTAATTGTTAATGTATTATCACAATGATTTGAAGAATTTTTCAATTGTAGGTGAAAGCAATTCATAGTTTGTAATCGTGTTAATTTTAACTTTATTATATATCTTTGTATCCACGTTTCTTGATTGTCTTATAAATTTCATAAAACTGTTTTATAGTTATTTCTAGAATTCAAAGAGTAAGAGACTTAGAAATTTTTATTCTTGTGCATATACTTTTGTATTTCTAATTTTAAACTATTTTGTTTTGTTTTTAGGGCGTTCTTCTACTTGACTTAGCTAATGAAAGGCTTTTAAACGAATTTCTGTCACAGAATCCTAATAGAAACAATAGTTCGTGCGATAAGGGATACGCGTTAATGGAGGAAAGTAAAACGCAAAGTAATTTTTTAGTAGAAAATGCTGTAGTCATATTACCAGACTTCAGTTAATAAGCCATAATATGATTTAGGAAAACTGAACGAAACATGCATTTATTTCAATTTAGATTCTGGTATAGTAAAAATCATTATCTCACAAAAGAATATGCACTTTCACTTAAGAAATTTTATTGTTATTGAGAATCACTCATTAAAATCTTAAGGAATCAAATTTCGCCATATAATAATCTCATAGCTCATTTGTTTTAACTTATAATTATTCTTATAACATTGTTTCTTTTTCTTTCAGTACAAAACATTGTTTAAGTTTTCAAATAACACTCCTTTATTACATGGGTTACAAAAAAAATTATATAAATAGTGTCTAATAAATGATTTATATAGATGTGGATGGTAACGGCTCTGTTCATACGTGCATGAGTGAAGTGGAAAAAGGTCGCCGTATTACTTTTAGTACCAATCCAAATACTACAACACACCGTGACACGACTCATGCGGATCTTGTCAGTGATGTTCCTGAATTACATACAATGGAGCTTGATGATATGAAAACTTGTTTATCTCGAAATGATGAGTCAAGTGAAATAGATTTTGGTGGACAGGATTTTGATTACAGTCATGATGTTAAAGATCGCCATCCGGTTAGAATTTTACTTTAGAAATTGGTCTCTTCAAAAAATTGATTAAAGTAAAAGGAGTTTTTCAAACAGTTGAAAAAAACGATTATTTATTTTACTATATTAAAAATGGAACTCTATAGGCTGACGAAGAAAACTTTGTTGGAGCAGATAACTGTGAGCCCGTGATGGATCTGTTTCAGTTACAAGACTACAAATATGCGCCTTATCGAGTTCATTTTTTAAAGACCTTTTTTCGTTGTTTTTGTGTTGGAATGTGTTCATTGCTTTTACTTTAATTTAGATGTCAGAACTTCAGTATATACCAGAAAGTATTTTAATTACAGCAAATTGTTTTAGTAAATCCAATTTCTCATTTTTCAAGAATTTGATTCTCTCAAAGACAACATTTTATCTTGATTGTATTATGTGTCATCATTTTTACGTCTCTGTTTGATGATGATACATTTTTACGTCTCTGTTTGACACCCTTATTCTCACTTTATTTAATGTTCTCAATTTGAGAAATTGCTTCCACTAATTTGTCCACCTATCAGGTCTCAAAGTAATTATGATATCATAAATTAACTATACAAGGTTATAGATTTTCCATTTTTCAGGCTTGTAAACCATCTTTTTCTATGGAACGACGGCAGAAGCGTAATTTAGAAAGGAAAGAAAAATTAAGTCTCAAGTCACTTTCTAACTTTAATTACTTTCTTCAGCAGAATGTGTATCATTCGATTCCGAAAAACAACCGTCTGGTAGATGATGTCTTCGCAACTGTTTTCGGAATGTAAGTGTTCCATATTAAGCCTAATTCTATGTTTCTAAAACTAAATGATTTTGTTTAGATATATGCGAAGGATAGAAAGACGTCGAATGAACGAAATCAGGAGCAGAATATTGCAAAAGAAAGAAGAGCCAGGTTTGGTATAATCAGTACACTGTGACATATTTGAACCTTAATAGTCTCGTTCATTTTTACCAAACGTTAAAGAACTATAAAAATTTCATAATTGAAAACTGTCAACTTTCTAATTCTTTGATCTTAATCTAAGTGCTTCTCAGCAACCGACATTCCAGTATGTCATGATCAAAACGCGCACAATATCACTGCGAAAGATTATTCCAGTGACGAAAGTCAAGGGCCCTCTGACATTGATGGTATTTTTTTTTCACTTCTGGAAGAAAATTTCTATTTGTTAAAAATTTCAAACCTTTTTTTTCAGAAGATGAAAATTTGACTTTTGGTAAGATACAAGACCATGAGATAGATAATCAGATTAGTATGACTTCCTTATATATGAACTACGACGATCCGGTTACTAATTTGAAATCTGCTGAAAATATGACATATCAAGATATGCTGAAAGTTCACTTAAATAAGTTAGTTTATTTTTGATCATAATGTGATCAGAAATACATTTTTCTTACTTTTAAACAAACCTAGCATTTGGCTTTGTTTAAAAAAATCTGCGGGGAATGGTGGCTGCTAATTCATATTTTCATAGTACTCGTTAATTTCCCAGTGAAAAGGTCGGACTTTATTCGGTTCTAATTGAATTAAGATGCTCTGTTAGCGAATAACGGTATTTATCAAGTACTGAATGCAAAGATCTTGTTTGTTAGTAATCATAAGTTCTTGTAATGAAGCATTGAGATTTATTACAGATACTGGTCGTCTGCGGAAGAAGCTACATCAGAGCTTTGTAAACGCGTGCAACAATGGGAAGAAAAAATTCAGCCACTACTAGAAGAGGAAGAATCACGCCGCAAATTTGATATTCATGAATATGGTTCTGAGCTTCTCAGTCAATATGTAAACATTGGAGAAAAAAAATGCTTTTTTGAGGTACTAAGTTGGCATTTTGTTAGTTTGAATTTTGGAATGTGAATTGTAATTTAAAAATATTTGTGTTGAAATTCTTGACGATTTAAATTGCATTAGCTACAATTACTTCAGTTGGTGAAAGATGCAAGCGCACAGTATGATATCAGTCGTTATTATTTGGCATCATTAATGCTTGCTAATACTGGAAATATTGAACTGAATACTACCTTATCAAATGAAGACGATGGTCAAAGAGATGTAGCTTTAAAGTTGTTGAAGAAAAAACGTCACCATGAACAATTTTTGGATACATCTGTTTAAAATGCAGCACTGGGATAAAAAAAAGCTTCACGATACTTTATGTATTTGAATTGTAAATAATAAAGAGTTTGTCCCTTGTATTGAACTGTTAATTCTTATCCGTCCATGCCCATTCCGATTTATTATTGAATCATGCATGTGTTACATAAGACTTCGTGCTACAGAAAATTATGGATTAGAAAAAATCACGAGATATCAGAATACACCTGCTGTCTTTTTAAAAGGTGAAAATGACCCTCATTTGTTGCAGTTATCAGTACTACTTTAAAAGTAGTGGAGTTGTCCCCGGACATGGATGCATAACACTACATTCATGCCGGGGAAATTTAAAATGGTAGTGTTGCTCATTCTTCAGCGCTATTGACTTATTTTCACGAAGCTACAATATCCATAAGCTACGAATTCATATTACATTCTCGTAAAAAATCACGGTACCTGTCCAAAATTCTTACATTTTGACTCTGCACAGCATTAGAAACGAGCATCAGCTTGCTGATAGTCCGGTACCTTATTTTAATTACTATACTTGGTTACTATGCTGGAATAGACGGTAAGGTGCGTAGTCAAATATTCAAATCATATGGTGTCCAACTTTTATTCAATCGCGATAGCAAGTCAAAAGACACAGAAGTAACACTAACATGGCTTTGTTTACATGGTTAGGAAAAGTGAAATGTGGACTTGGACTCAAGAAACGTGGTAATCGAAAGTCAATATTTCCACCCAGTATTTTATAATATATCGAATTACATTACATTCAAGCAGTTCACATACTGATTACATTAAACAATATCCATTCAGACATATTTCAGTAATCTTATTTAGATGTTTCTGAAAAGCGATATTTTATTCAGATTGTGCAAGACGTTCGCAAATTTTAAGTGAACTCGAAGACTGGTTTT